GATGACGCAGCTTCTACGTCGACGGACCGGCCCTAATCCACAATGAATCGCGAACGCGAGGGAGTCATCAGAATATCGGATCGCATTTGTTGGGTTCCGGAATCGTCTAGAATGCTGACTCGGTATAGCGAAGAGACACTACGACTGTGCTAAGCGACGGCTCGGGGAGAAAGATCCCCGTGGCAAAAATGGCCGCCTTTTTATTGAGACAGACTTCTGCCGCGGCGCAGAAATAACGAAGTCGGGACTCAACATCCCTACCCGACTTAACCGTTGAGTTTCTTGTAATCAACGGGAACCTTGCATTTCCTGGGCCGCGACATCCTGAGGGCCGGTCTCGTAGGACCAACGTCGGTGGCAGCATGCGAGAGCAACGCCGTTGGATCTAGCTGCGACGTCGGAGCGGGACTGACACTAAGGGAAGAATCGGGCTGCTCTTGGGTATCTGGAAGCGATGGCGATGGCGTCGGCGGGAAGACCGAAGCAGCCAAATCGTCTCCGGAAACGGAAGGTTCCACCGCGCGTTTCCAAATTTGGTTACGGTGCCGAACAAGCCTCTGGCCCTGAAGTTCGAGACGAACCATCGAACGACCGAGGAAGTCGGCAACCTTCGCGGAGACTCGATTTCCGTTGGAGAGCTGGATCGACACGTTTTCCCCTCTCGAACGAGCGATCCTTAGCCCCGTGCAGAGTGTCGAACTGGCCTTTGTACGCCTGTTGATAATCGGTCATCTCCTTCGAAACGGAACATTTTGGTTCGAACATATCAAATGGAGTCCTCAGCTGACGTCCAAAGAAAATCTCGTTCGGTGACTTGTTCCCCAAGGCTGATACTGGTGTGTAGTTGTAAGCTGCAACTACGTGATCCTAAGACTCTCCATCGGAATCGATTGCATCTTTGATCGTGCGAACCATTTTCTCGGCCTGACCATTACTTTGAGGCATCGAAGGCGCGCACCGCAGATGTACAATACTCGAGTCGGCACAGAACTTCGCGATTCGGCCGAGGTGAACTGGGGACCATTGTCGCTGACCAGTGTTTCCGGAGGACCCAGTAGTCGGAAGAGCCGTCGGAGATAGTCGATCAAGGCGGCGGAAGTTGTGGAAGACATCCTCTGCGCGTCGACAAATTTCGAGAAACTATCGACAGCGACGATGAATAGCCGCCCTTTGCGAGGCTCACCGAAATCTTGATGAAACCTTGACCACGGTTTGAGCGCTCTAGGCCACGGATTCAGCGGAACCTTTATCGGAGCCGGCGACGTTTGCAAGCACCGAGAACACGCCTTGACAAACTTCTCAATATCGGCCGTCATTCCCGGCCAGAAAAAGTGGAGACGCGCCAGGGACTTCATTCGCCGTATGCCCGGATGTGCTTGATGTAGCTGCTCAAGTACGCGGCGTTCGACCGTAGCAGGAACCACTACACGCTCGCCGTACAGGAGTATTCCACTAATCTCACACAAGGAATCAGAGAGCCCTGCGAACTGTCTCAAGACGGGATCTTTCCGATCACTCGGGCTCCACCCCTCCTTCAACCGCTTCAGGACCTTTGCGAGAACTGGATCTTTCGCTGTCTGCGAAGCCACCAGATTTCGAGAGTCGGTGGAATGAAGTGCGTTGATCACCAACTCTTGAAGACTTGTCTCGCACGAAACATCTATGGAGGCCACGACCTCGTCGAGCGCTGAGTCTCGAGCGCCTGCTCGAACTTCCTGGACTAAGCCTAAGGTCTGTTCGAATATATTCGATATCGAAGTCGAAGCCTACGAGCCTCAAGGCCCAACGTTGTAGGCGAGCCGCCGTCCGTTCTGACAAGCCTTTCATGTTGGTCGGACGAAACAGGGCGACGAGCGGTTGGTGATCGGTTTGTAGGATGAAATTGAAGAGATTTACGTATCTCGTTGATACCTCGGCTAGAATGATCACACGGAATGCTAAAGTCAGTCTTGGGCTCCCCCTTGGCTGGCTGAGGTTTATTGTTCTTATATATAGCGAGTCACAGGGTTGAACACAGAAGAGCATCCGAATATGGGTCATGCTGAAAACTTTGTGAACGGGTTAAGTGGTGACCGGTCAGTGACCGTTACAGACTGAGGTCTTCAGTATCTAGAGCGGAAGGTGAAACGGACACTATTCATCATTCTCCCCCATTGGCCGTGTAGCCTTTCGCAGGGGTTCGCTCTGACTTCATTCTCTTTTGGAATAAATCGCTGTTTCGCAGGCGATGAGAATTTCGAGTTATTTCCGACGAGTCAGCCAGACTCGAGTCAGAGACTCGTAGATTCGACAGATTTGTCGAGCGCTTGAGATAAGGGACATTTGAGGCACAGTAGAGACGCTCTGATTGCTACTATTCCCTGATATCTGGAAACGATTTGCACCTCGATGTCACTTGCTCAGAATCTG